TTATTTATTTTTTCACTCTACTGCCTCTGTTCTCTACTTATGCTTGAATCCCCTTGACCAACCCTCTATTGTCATTTATTCTCAAATTTTTTATCTTTTATATCATTAATTCCCTATTTACTTATATGCATTTGTTGTTTAAACCTTACAACTTTCTTTTTTCTTTTTTTTTTTGAGATGGAGTCTCGCTTTGTCACCCAGGTTGGAGGGCAGTGGCATAATCTTAGCTCACTGCAACCTCTGCCTCCCAAGTTCAAGTGATTATCCTACCTCAGCCTCCCGAGTGGCTGAGGTTACAGGCATGTACCACCACACCTAGCTAATTTTTATATTTTTAGTAGAGATGGGGTTTCACCATGTTGACCAGGCTGGTCTCGAACTCCCAACCTCAGGTGATACACCTGCCTTGGCCTCCCAAAGTGCTGGGATTATAGATGTGAGCCACCGCACCCAGCCATAAATTTATTTCTTACGTTTTTAATACTAAGAACACTCCTTCCTCCTCTGGTTGCTCTAATAGCAGGGTGTTTCTGTAGATGCAGAATAGATGTTTCTATAGATCCTCTCTGAAAATATTAGATTTTTAAAAAAGTTATTTCCTGAATTATCTATTTCCTCTGGGGTTAATTTTCTTTCCTTATCTTGGTCCCTCTCTTTAATGTTGTGTTTCTCTCAAATGTCTGGAGATCGTTGGCTATTCATTCATATTTATAAGTGAACGATAGATTAGTGTAATTAACATTAGTTTTTCTGAAACTTATGTAAGTCTGTTTTTCCACTGTCCTCCTCTGAATGGAGGTCTGATATGATCTGTTCGTGAGTTATGGAGAGATGGTTATTGGCAAGTGTTACTTTAGGGTATGCAGGCATGGAAAAGTAGAGATTCCCCTCCTCCCAGGTATCAAAAGTATGACAAATTTACTCTTGGGATGGAAAACTTTAATGTATTTTCCTTCACTGCAGAGCTACTTCTCCTGTTTCCTTTTCTTTATATCTGTGGTAGAATATTGCAGTTAACTCAGGTTCCTCTCTGTTTCTCTCTCAGGCCCCTATACCCACAGCAAGAGCTTTCCTCAAGTAGGCAGTTTACTTTCTCCAGAAAATTAGCTGATTTTAGCTTAGAATCAAATGCACCCACTGCCTTTTGTGCACTGTAAGGAGGAGGCTGCCCCTACTGTTTCAAATGTAGAATTAAATTAATTTACCCTTGAAGATGGCCCATGACTCTTTCCTGCTTCTTGTATATATTCTTTCAGCCCATTTTCTCTGGAGCTACTTTCATTTTCCTAGGCATCTTCTCTTATACTTTAAGTTGTGGCTTCTTCTGCTCTGATCAATCTGACCTTTTCTGCTTTCTATCTTCCATGAATTCCTCACAACAGTTGATTTACGTCAGGCTTTTGTTTTAGAGCATTGCTTTTAATTTGATTTTTAAGAAATCTTTTCTGAAATTAAGAAATTTGAGATAGCAAGAGAGATGGGCACATGAATTCAGTTTACTATCTTGATCCAATTTCTAAAGAAATCTAAGATGTTAGTTTAGACATCACATATCCAACTACATCAATCTTCTATTTAAAACACTCCCTCAGCTCCAGCATAAAGTCCAAGCTCTCTGGCCTAACATACTGGATCCTTAACCCAACTTTTGTTCATGCTGTCCATCACACAGGAAAGCACTGCCTTTTTCTCTGCCTGGTATCATTACCTGATGCTTACCTAACACTGTATTATAAATCCTTGTTTACATGTTCTGATTCACCACAAAAACTGTGAGACCAAGAGCAGAGATCTTACTAGTCCTTGACTTCTCAGCACCCAAAGAACCTATCATGTGGTAACTATTCATTTTATAAATGAGAATCAGGCATTAAAATGCCATGGAATCTTAGAGTCAGATCTCAGACCAGTGAACCACAGATAACAGAATTTAGAGCTAAAAGGGACTTTAAGATTATGTTTGTTAAACGAACAATGTTTTAAGGCCCAAGAACTCTGCAAACTTCCTTGTACTTCAGAGCAGAATAAATCACTCCATCAAATATAACCCCATTGTACATTATTCATGCCTTTCTTGCAGCCCTTCTCTCCCCAGTCTGTCATTAATTTTTTTTCTCAAGGGTTAAGATAGTGCACGTTCATTTTTGTGTCACCTGTACTTTGACATAAAGAAGATACTAACTCAATATTTAGGGTGTGAGTGAATACATGAATGCTCAGGAGAGCAGAATTTTGTGCTGGTTTCTACTACTAACTCAGTCAAACGTAGAGAGTGAGTCACTTAATCTCTCTGAATCTTAATTTCTTAGGCAGCAATTGTATTTGATTATTTCACAAGTGGAATCATCTGTGTGAAACCAACATGGAAAATAATGACATGCTACCATAATACAAAACATTTCCTCCATGTAAAACTAGTAAGGATATATAGAGCACTAAGCTAGTGCTGGACAAATGTTCTGAATTGAGGGAGAACAATGTCCTTCACAGTCTTAGTAGTTTTAATTGTAGATACTAAACCAGTACAAGTTTTTACCAAGCAGGTGTTATCCTCCCTGCCATATGGCATGAACCCCAGGGCTCTTCCTCCTCAATAACAAACAACATAGCTACAGCTTTACTGCAGTCTCCTTTATAAGACCTCAATGACATCTTTTTTTGTTCCTTGCCACAGTGAAAAGAAACCCAAACTGGGATTCAGAAGACCCCAGTTCTAATGTGGTTCTAATTATAAGTCTTCAGGAAACTCTGTTTTTCTGCCTATGAAATGGAGATGACAATACTTTCTACATAGGTAATTGTGAGGCTAATCATGCTTATATAAAGTTTTTAACACAGTGCATCGTAGGCACTCAATATTGATGGCTATCACTCTTCCCACAAAAGCATAAAGACATTTGAGCCATGAAGCACAATTCGGCTTAAAGCCTCTTCTTCAATAATTTACTATTCAAAGATCCTGTATTTGCAAATTCTTCCCCATCTTTTAATTACATCTCTTCCATTTGATGAAAGGCAGCAGGAAGCGGTGGAAAGCAGTATAGGCTGGGAATCAGATGCCTATTGCCATTAACTCTTTTCCATTTCAGTTTTATCATCTATAAGGATAATAACTTACCTCAGTAAGCTCCTGTGAGGATTCAGAGAGTCGGTAAGAAAGGATCCAACAGGTTGCAAGGCACTGAACATGTGAATATTGTTTTTTATAATCAATAAGTATAAAAATGACTCAGAATAAACCAGTACCCACGGTGGAAGCATGGTTCAAAGTATTTTGATGGTGACTCGGTATTGTGTTAGAACTTAACCACTCTCCTGCTTAAGTTCTTTAAGCTTCTCATCACCTTTAAGATAAGTCAAACTCCTACATGATTTGTCCCGCTTACCACTACCAATCCTCCTCATCGCCCACCTCTACTTCCTTCACAATTCACATTCTAGTCATAACAAACCACTTCGCAGTTCCCTGTGCAAGTATACCTCATGAACTTCCTTGCCCACACACATGCTATTCTCTTTCTGTGTGGAATATCTGCATTTCCCCTTAATCTTTGCTCTAGATAACTAACTCATTCAACTCAGACTTTACCATCAGGAAGCTTTCTCTGATACCTCCAACCTTTCATTCAGTAAATGTTTACCAAATGCCAAGACTTGCCAGATGCAAACGGTATAACAATTAACAAGTCAGAAACAGCCCCTGGCTTCATGAAGGTTAGCATGCTGCACTATAATTATCTGTCTGTGCCTTCAAGCACAAATGGGAATCATGAAGAATTGGCTGCTTGAGGTCTTCAACCTCAAGACTGGGAGGTTCTTAGGTATTGGGACATGTCTGACCATCTCTGTAATGTCACTTATTCACACCGGACTTGGCATAGTATAAACTAGGGCTTTTGCAAATGTTTAGTAAATCAGAATGGCATAACCACCTATATACAAGAGACATCAGATGTAAAAAATAAATAGCAACCAGGTGTGGTGGCTCACACCTGTAATCCTAACACTTTGGGAGGTCGAGGCAGGAGGATCACTTGAAGCCAGGAGTTTGAGAACACAAAATGAGAATCCCATCTCTACCAAAACTTTTTAAAAATTAGCTGAGTGTGGTGGCTTATGCCTATAGTCCCAGCTATTCAGAGGGCTGAGGCAGGAGCATCACTTGAGCCCAGGAGTTTGAGTTTACAGTGAGCTATGATCACACCATTGCACTCCCGCCTGGACAACAGAGCAAAACCTCATCTCTTAAAAAAAAAAAAAAAAAGGCAGTATTCTCTTACATGCATCACAATTTATTATTTATAGGACCCTTTAAAATACATCAACATCGCATTTTATCCTTGTAATTGCCCTGGCAAATAGAATTTGTAAGTTGAGAGAGACACAGAGATCCTCTAGTTTAATCCCCAGCCAATTCTTCATGATTTCTGTAACATCCATTCGAGTGTCAAAGCATTCATTACAACTTCAGAGGACAGAATGAATGACTTTAAATGAATAAAATCTGTTCCCTTCAACAATTAGTACTAATCTTGGTTTTGCAGACTCCATAGACCAAAGAGGAAATTTTCTTCTAAATGTAGGTATCTGAAGACATGTCCAGGTAAGGGCAGAGTATATCATTCTCATTTTATTGATGAAGAAATTGAAGCTCAAAGAGGCAAACTGACTTTCCCAAGGTTCAAAGCTACAAATTAAAAAACTGAACCTAAAGCCATATCTTCTGGTTCCAGAATTTCTAGAACATTTTACAACTATTATGAATCCATAAAAATTAAAAATAAAAAAATTATCACAAAGAAAGAATTTCTAGGACATTAAAGCTGAAAGGGACACTCCTATTTATTATATCTAATTTCTTTACTGGATAGATAGGAATTCTGAGGCCAAGGGTGCAGAAGTGACTAATATGAGTGCCTCCAGCTCAGGCTCTGCCTCTGCCACACCGTCTTGATCCTTACCTCCACGTCTGCCCACATCAACATAGAGTAAATACTTACCAAGGCGTTAGAAGAATTATAATCCTCAGCTGACTTATCTGCACAGGAAGAAAGACAAGGGACTTAGTCAATAAACAATTACAGTTAATTCTTTCTTGACAGCAAAAGAAGTCTATCTGGTCAAGCACATGCCAGATTCAGAGAATAGTAATAGTATGACTGGTACTACAGGCTAGATATCATGCTAAACGCATTATACATATCACCTTCTTTAATCCTCATTATGGCTCTGAGTACTGTTATTATATCTACTTTTATTGATTTGGAAACAAGTTCAGAGATGTTAAGTACAGTTGTGTGTGGCTTAGCAATAGGGTATGCTCTGTGAAATGTGTCATCAGGTAATTCTGTCATTATGGGAACATCATAGAGTGTACTTACACAAACCTAGATGGTATAGCCTGCCACATACCTGGGCTATATTGTATAGCCTATTGCTTTCTAGGCTACAAACCTGTACAGCATGTTACTGCAGGCAACTGTAACACAATGGTAAGCATTTGTATATCTAAACATAGAAAAGGTACAATAAAAATATAGTTCAAAAGGTAAATAAAAGGATATATCTACATAAGCACTTACCATAAATAGAGCCTGCAGGACTGGAAGTTGCTCTGGGTGAGTCACTGAGTGAGTGATGAGTAAATGTGAAGGCCTAAGTAGGACATTACCAGTATACACGTAGGCTACACTAAATTTATTTTAAACTTAAGTAATCACTAGGTGATAAGAATTTTTCAACTTCCTTATAATATTATCAGACCACCATTGTATATGCGGTCTGTTGTTGTGGCACATGACTGTTATCTGTCCAGGGTACACACAGGTTAAAGAGAGGAATTAGATTCGAATTCTGGTCTCATTCTAAATACTATGCTAGAACTGTATCCACATCATCAGCTATATCACTGTAAGGCTTAAATAGCTAAGAAAATCTGCATTCTAAAAGAAAAGGAAAGAATCCATAGCACCACCCCTGAGTCATCCATGCCAAATCATGGCCAGTCTCCAGCTTCAGCTTTCATAAAGGATCCTTCTATATCCATATCTACTGCCCACAGGGACAAAAGGACTAAGGTTGAGGAAAAGATAGGTATTAATCCTGTCAAGTCTAATTAAAGGTAGGGTCTTGTTTTCCAAGAATAGAGTCAAGCTCCCTCAATGAAGCAATTACCATGTTTCATTGATTCGGAGAGGTACATTTTTCACATTAAAGTCTCTGAAACAGAGGTGTGTCCTACCATCCATGTTATGGTTTAATTGGCAGCTTTATTTTCCTTGATTGGTATGGAAATAATTGTGCATCTTACAATCAGTGGTATCTTAGACTTCATAAAATATGAAAGAGAGACCCAACGGAGATCTTAGCAAGAAATAAGTTTAAAGACCAGTTAATGTCTTCAGTTTTGTTCTTTAATTCCCATGGGTCCAAGAAAAACTGACTTTGCTAATTCACCACTAATGGAATTGAGGAGGAGAAATATTCTACCAAATCCAATATATTCCTCACCAAGAACCAAGCCCAGAGAATGTACAGTCCCAATTCCATCATATAAAAAGTGCTAGATACAGCTTCTTTGACCCTACAGCAAATCATGAACCCACACAGCAGGAAATAAGGCAAGCTCTGACAACATGTTCTTATAACAAATCCAGAATAACTAGCAGTATTCTGGAGAAATAAATTCAGGATATACTTTAAACATAATTCATTTGTTTTTTCTTGTCCAGAAAACTATCAACTTTGGCAGAGTACAACACTATGCCTTCGCTGCACTACCCCCAACTTTATGTACTGCTAGTATTTTTGAAGATTGGGTATTTTGGTAATAAGTATACTTGTTATGTCATATAAAAAATAAGTAAACACTCCCTTCAAAGGTGATGAACTACATATCAAAATCAAATTCCAAAGCACAGAATGACGGAACAGAAAGTACTTCCAGCACTTTCATTTACAGATGAGTAAAATGAGGTTCAGAAAAGGAAAAAGATTGGTTCAAGGTCACGTAAGTCATTGGCAAAATAGGGCTAAGACCCAGCTGTGTTGTCAATCTCATCTACTTTTTCCCTATTACATTAGCTACTAACCGGTATAAAAAATTAAGTGTTGCTGGGCGCAGTGGCTCACACCTGTAATCCCAGCGCTTTAGGAGGCCAAGGTGGGTGGATCACAAGATCAGGAGTTCGAGACCAGCCTTGCCAATATGGTGAAACCCTGTCTCTACTAAAAATACAAAAATTAACTGGGCATAGTGGTGTGTGCCTATAGTCCCAGCTACTTGGGAGGCTGAGGCAGAAGAATTGCTTGAACCCAGGAGGCGGAGGTTGCAGTGAGCCAAGATCGCGCCACCGCACTCCAGCCCGGGTGACAGAGTGAGACTCCGTCTCAAAAAAAAAAAAAAATGAAGTGTTGAAAAAATAGAAACACTTGACCAAAATTAGCATGGAGGATTGTGTTTGGGTTATAGGCAGCAAAGGAGTTAAAGGCCCAAGTCAAAATACATTTCCATCATGTATCAGCTGAGTCACTTGGGGTATGTCACTTAACTTCTCTGAGTCTAATTAATTTCTTTGTGTATATAAAAGGAAGATAATAGTCCTTGCCCTGCCAGTCTCCTAAGGCCATCATAAGAATCACATGAGGGAGCCAGGCTCAGTGGCTCATGCCAGTAATCTCAGCACTGTGGGAAGCTGAGGCGGGCAAATCACTTGAGGTCAGGAGTTCGAGACCACCCTGGCCAACATGATGACCCATCTCTACTAAAAACACAAAAATTAGCTGGGTGTGGTGGCACACACCCGCAGTCCCAGTTACTCAGGAGGCTGAGGAAGGAGAATCACTTGAGCCCAGGAGCACAGGCTGCAGTGAGCTGAGATCGTACCACAGGACTCTAGCCTGGGTGACAGAGCAAGACTGTCTCAAAAAAAAAAAAAAAAAATCACGTGAGGTAATTCACATGTGAGCATATACAAATTGAGGTAGTATTATCATAACTAATAGTATGAGAGGATGGCAAGTAGGGAAAGGAGAGATATGACACTTTAAAAAACCTGTGCCAAATATGCACTTTTGCCTAGAGTTGGCCCTAGTCTTCAACTTACAGAAAATTAAAATTCTGGCATACATATATATATATATACATGTGCACAAATTTGTACATACAAAAGTAGATGTACACACATGTATCTGTACATACACACTCAATATTATTCATATATGCATGCACGAATGAACATACACATAATTACCTGAATGTGTATATTTATACATATGTTCGTTCATGAATACCTGAGTGGACTTTATCTTTGTTCATGAATACTTAAGTGGGCTTTAATTCCAAATATATGCAAACCCATAGGGCTATGCCTCTGTTTACGTACACACTTACATGCCACTAGCACATATCTACATACATACACGCAGGAAAGATCCTTTCCAAGACTTAGCCACTGAGGTTTTCAAAGACAGCCTCTAACCTGATGTTTCCATGACAAGTTCCTTAACATAAACTCTAATTTCCTGACTAGAAAACTTTCCCACTCAGTAGCCCTCCACCCCAACTCCTCCTTGAAATGACTTAGTCCCTCAGTGGAAGAAGTGAGACAGACTCAGCGGGGCCAGACGAGAGGAAGGAAATACTGCTGGGCACATGCATGGCCCTCTCCTGGGCACCACCATGGCAGCATGAGTGAAGCTGTAGCCTGTCATCTCCACCATCTGTGCCCTTGAAACAAGCCAGATACTGGCTGGGGAAAGCATCCTTCAAATTCCCTAGTTCATCCTGGTTCTCACCTTCCCAACAATACTGCCATTTGAAGGAGGCAACATGAGTAAAGAGCCTGGAAATTAAAAGATTAGCCCACTATTAATTTAACATATTAGAAAGGCCTTCTTTGGCTCTCACACCTGCAAAACAAGGGAGAAAGTTGGTCCTCTGTGGAAGGAGAGCCTCCAAATAACATTATTAGGGGCAAGCAGTAAATTCAAAAGGTGATGGTATAGGAATTAGGAGACCTGGGTTCTAATCCCAATTCTGCTATTAAAAACACTCTGAAAAATATAGTCCCTTCTACTGAGGGTACATGTAAAGAAATTTATTATTTAATGGCCTGTTTTTCATTTAACTAATAAAAATTAGTTCCCTGAGGAAGACATACATTATTAGTGTTATTAAATAACTAATAATAATATTAACAATAATGATGATAATGATAGTTACATTTCTATGGTGATGTTTTACAACTTATAAAGAACTTTCACATCTGTCGGCTTACTTATTTCTCACTATAACCTCTTTTTTTTTGAGACAGGGTCTCAATCTGTTGCCCAGGCTGGAGTGCAGTGGTGTGATCCTTGCTCACTGCAACCTCCACCTCCCAGGCTCAAGTGATCCCTTCACCTCAGCTTCCCAAGTAGCTGGGACCACAGGGATGCACCACCACACCTGGCTAATTTTTGTATTTTTTGTAGAGACAGGGTTTTGCCATGTTGCCCAGGCTGGTCTCGAACTCCTGACCTCAAGCGATCCTCTTGCCTCGGCCTCCCAAAGTGTTGGAATTACAGGCGTGAGGCACTGTGCCCAATCATTTCTCACTACAGCCTCTTGAGATAGGAATTATTCCCATTTTGAGGCGCAAAGAAATGAAGCGACTGTTGGAATCTAGTAAGGGTCAGAATCTAGACCTTCTAGCACAAAATCTGTGTTCTCTCTATATAATACCATACTATTTTTAAAAAAACATGTGCAGTGTCAGAGTGAAGACTTAAGTTTGATGCAAAGTCCATCATCTTGGCTGTCAAATTCCAAAATTCCACGTTAGTTAAAGTACCACTTCCACTCTTTCAACTACTTTGTTCTCTTATCCCAGACCAATAGGCATGTGAGTTTTCCTATCCAGATTAAAACCATCTCTTGCTGAGACTGCCCGGGCCACAGTTTTCATACCTGTAAAGCTCATGTATTTCTGGCTGTTGGATGTCTTCTTTGAGTTGTAAAACTCCAACACATCCAGAACAGCCTGCGGGTTTTTCTTCTGCTCCGACTTAGTGATATTTGATGTCTGAAGCAAGCGGGCCCACTGCTCTGGCATTCCCTATAAGAGAGACATGCAAGACTAACAGGAAGGCACAATCACAGTGGACCCTGAAAGAACATCAGAGCTAACTCTGACACTTGCTAGCAGCAAAAGATGCATTTGTTAGTCATTCCTTTCTCTCTATACCCTCAGAGTTTACATAAGCCTCTTTTATAATATCTTTCTCATTGTATTAGTCATTTCTTAAGATGTCTGCTCCTTCACCAGGCTATACCTCCAGGATGGTAGGATAGGATGCTGTTCCTGCATGATCAGTGCCCCACACAGAGCCTGCTACCAAGCCTACCACTTAACAGAGGTTTATTATTTAAAGAATGGAGATGGAAAGGCTTCTCTGGATACAATTTTAGCGATGCAAGTGTCCCACTGATGAATGTGAGAAAATTGTAATCAGGGTCTCAGGCAAAGACAGAAGCATCAGGAAGATGAGAAAGGGTTAAATCTAACAGTGCACAGCCAGAGCTCTAAAAGACTAAAGACTTTTCTGTGACCCAGGACTTACCGTAAACTCCCCTGTGACAGCGTCAAAACCAACATGAATTGTGTGTTCAAAATCTGAAGGGAGAGAAATCTCTGGCCGCTCTTTCTCTTTCTTTTTATTTGCTGCAAGAGAAACAGGGAAAAGGAAATAAAAAACAGGAACATTATTGTTTTTAGGCTTATTTTAGCTCTTTATTGCGCTGTAGTCTCCTTGAGAGGGCAAAGTCTATCTATTAATATTTCACATATGTTGAAGACCCCAATTATGGACCTGGATTGGAGCAGATACTCAATGCATGTTTAAAGACTTAATTTCTTGTTGAACTAAAGTAAGATGGTGGCTCATGCCTGTAATCCCAGCACTTTGGGAGGCCAAAGCAGGCAGATCGCTTGAGTCCAGGAGTTCAAGATCAGCCTAGGCAACATGGCAAAACCCTGTCTCTACAAAAAATACAAAAATTAGCTGGACATGGTGGTGCATGCCTGTAGTGGCAGCTACTTGTGAAGTTGAAGCAAGAGGATCATTTGAGCCCAGGATGTAGAGGTTGCAGTGAGCCAAGATCATGCCATTGCATTCCAGCCTAGGCGACAGAATGAGGCCCTGTCTCAAAATAAAATAAAATAAAATAAAATAAAATAAAATAAAAGGAGAGGCAAAAAGAATGTGTGTCAGAGTTAACAGTCGTGGTTTTACCAGTAACTACCCAGTTGATATAGGGTAAGTCTTCTTTTTTGTGAAGCCCTCCTTGATCTCTAGGCTGGGCAGTTCTTTACCCTCTCTGTTCCTATAGCACCCAATATATGTAATAGTAATTGACTACTATAAGTGTTTATCTTCCATACCAGACTGAATTCTAAGTGCAGGGGCCATATCAAATTAGTCACAGCTTCCCAGAGGCTAGCACACACCTGGCACAAAGTAGGTGCTCAGACAGTAAGTGAAGAAAGGAAAAAATGACCAGACATTTACCTCAACTGGGCAAGGAGTTTAAGGAATCTGCCTAAGACACAAAAATTCTCTCCAGGGCAGGAATAAATGTTCCTTTCAGCAGCTCTGGCCTGACTTTCACAACACTTGTTACCCAGCACCTGTGACCCTTATTTTAAAATCCTGTTGTCTGGGAGCTCAATACACTAACCAAAAGAAATTCTGAAGTTCTAATACCTCCACAGACCCAGCATAACCCTGATAAAAGGTAGCAAAATGAGAAGGAAAACACAAAAAGGTCTAGAGTTCAAGCCAGTTTCACCTCTACCTTACCACAATGCGCGCGCGTGTGCGTGCGTAGAGAGAGAGAGAGAGAGACCAGGATCTCTGCTGTCTCATCTAAACAAGGGTGAGTATGAGCTGGATGATCTTAAGGGTCCCTCAAGCGCCTACATTCTGTGAGTCTATGAAAACAAGAAGCTATGCCTTCTCAAAGCTCTGCAGTTAAAATTCCTTCCTGAGACGGCATTCCACAGTTTTAAATAGGTATTTCATACATATCATGTAATACAATCACCACAATCCTGAGGCAAGTTTTACTTGCAGATTAGAAAATTTGGGAACAGACTTGCCTACAATCATTAAGTAATTAAAGTCCAAAAAGTCTGGCATCAAAGCCAAGGTTCTTTACATTCTATTTTACCTCCCCTAAAACATTTCAAGTTGAATCAAGAAAACACACTTCAGTGTAATAAGAAGAAATGACATTAAGAACTTGCTATGTATACAAAAATGATGTCAATATAGTATTTTTCTTCATTCTTACAATCCTACGAGATAGATATTACTACCATCATTCTTACAATCCTATGAGATAAATACTGCTACTGTCATTTTACAGATGAAGAAACTGAATAATTTACTCATACAGCTACTGAGAGCTGGGATTTGAACCCAGGTCTGATTCCAAAGGTTCATTCTTCAGTATCTTAATGAGAATCATTTGCCTACATGCCAAGTGCTAGGGTTTAAGCTATTTATGTACTTGGCAATTTCCCTCTCAGAAGCAGCTGCTTTGAGAAAGACAAGGCTAAGGGGTATACCAGGGCCCCAAGTCAAGCAGTCCTTTATGACATAAGTCCATCTGTCTTTCTCATAGCCCGAATGCACTGGAACATGTGGCAGGGCTTTGGAACTACTTTCTGTTTCTAAATTCCCTCTGATCTAGTCACTTAGGGAAGTATAATTATATTTGTGTTTTATTTCAATTTTTATTTTTTATATCTATGCATGTTTATACATTAGTTCTATTATATATAATTGATATACTATATAATACATCACAGGCATGAACTGTCAAATGCAGAAGAAACTTTAGTAAAGGACGCCCAAAAAGTAAGTTAGCTCAAAGCGTGAGTAGTTTACAGAAAAGAGTTTCAGGGAAATGGAATCATTTAATACATGAACACACAGGGTAATGCTAAAGTCAGCTCTGCTTCTACTGAGCACTCTTTACCCTGCAACCTTTGAATATACCTCACACATTCCCACCTCCAAGTTTTTGCTCGCTTTTTCTTCTCCTTGTTTGGAATGCTCTCTTCTCCTTCTCCCTATCTCAGCCATCTTTTAAAGACTGGCTCAGGTCCCACTTTTTCCAGGAAGGATTTCCTGACCTTTCTTCTTCCTGTTAATTCCCAAGACACTGAGTCTGCTACACCACCAAGCATCTAGTCATTTCCTGTCTTATATGATTCCTTGCCAGTTTAAAAATCCAAAATGTAAGCTTCTTGAGGACCAAAATTATCACTTCCAATTACAATCACTATACTTCTGAATTTCAATCCAGCACATGGCTTACTGGATTGAAGAATACTCTAGAAAATATTAGGGAATGGCCAGGCGCGGTGGCTCACGCCTGTAATCCCAGCACTTTGGGAGGCTGAGGCGGGCAGATCACCTGAGATCAGGAGTTCAAGATTGGCCTGGCCAACATGACGAAACTCCATCTCTACTAAAAATACAAAAATTAGCTGGGCGTGGTGGCACGTGCCTATAATCCTAGCTACTCAAGAGGGTAAAGCACGAGAATAGCTTGAACCGGGAGGCAGAGGTTGAAGTGAGCTGAAATTGTGCCAATGCACTCCAGCCTGGGTGACAGAGTGAGACTGTGTCTCAAAAAATAAATAAATAAAGTATTAGGGAGTGATTCTAGAGACCATGTAATCCCATTCCCTGAGGAAAGAGGCCCAGGGAAGTAAGTTGACTTGTCCTGATTCACGGAGCACATGACTGTAAGTCCACCTGATTAAGTCTTTCACTCTTTATTATACCCCGATCCCTACTGAGATTTGACTGGAATCAACTACTAACTGAAATAACAGTTTAACATAGTGGAGTACAAAAATAGCAATGACTTGGCTGAAGTGGGAAAGGAGAGAAGTAAAAGGAATGGGGAAATCTAGGTGGCAGGATTTAGCTTGGGTACTGCGTAATTTTTTTTTTTTTCAGACTTGTTGCCCAGGCTGGATGGAGTGCAATGGCATGATCTCGGCTCACTGTAACCTCCACCTCCCCGGTTCAAGCAATTTCTCCCTCCCTCAGCCTCCCAAGCAGTTGAGATTATAGGCACCCACCACCACACCTGGCTACTTGTATTTTTAGTAGAGACAGGGTTTCACCATGTTTACCAGTCTCGAACTTCTGACCTCGGGTGATCCACCCACCTTGGCCTCCCAAAGTGCCGGTATTACAGGCATGAGCCACTGTGCCCGGCCTGGTACTGTGTAATATTTAGACTGAGTATTCACCAGTTGAGGATCACCAGCAGAAAACAGGATTCAAGAGGCAGGAATACAGAAGAGAAATGGAGAAGTCATACAGTCCTAGAGCCACCTGGAACCCAATTAATCCCTTCTGGGAAGTAACAATCATCCCCTTCACCTGTGTACAGCCCTTCACCAAGCTCTGCCAGTCATTGTCTCACTGGCTCATCACCACAAACCCAGGAGCTAAACAGCTGAGGTCAAGGAATTAAAAGAAATTTCTGTTAGTGGAAAGAACCTCAGAGGAAGGATTCAGTATTATGGTTGCCAGTAACTCACTGGGTGACCCTGGAAAAGTCTGAGTTTCAAGCCTTCAATCTGCAAAATAGGACAATGGTGCATGCTCTGCATACAGAGGAAGGTAAGTAATAAACCACCTTTCTGGAGAAGATAATACCTGAAACAAGTCATAAAGGATGAACAGGGGTTAGCCAGACCGAGATGGGAAAGGGCATTTCCAAAAGAAACAGAATAAGCAGAGGCCAAGAGAAGTAAACAGTGTGATCTTTCTTTCTTCTTTCCACCTGTTCAGCAAGTCAACCAAATTTCATAAACTCTTACCAGATTCACAAAGCACATGATTGCAGGCAGGAAGGCACTATGAGCTTCAGACTGAGGGAAGACACAATGGAGAAAATAAAGCAAACCCAGGATCCTGATGGTCCCATATCCCAGGGTTACAGTATCCCTGGGACTACTGCTGCGGTAGCAAATATTTTATGATGACTAGAAGTATGTCTGCAGGAATCTGGTGAAAACTCATGTCTACACAAAAACTTGTATGTGAATTTTCATAGCAGCTTATTCATAACAGTCAAAAAGTGAAGGCGACCCAAATGCCTCTCAAGTGATGAACAGATAAAATGTAGTACATCCATATACTATTATTCAGCCATAAAGAGAATGAAGTCCCGATCCATGCTACAACATGGATGAACCTTGAAAACATTATGCTAAGTGAAAGAAGCCAGTCACAAAGGGCCATATACTGTGTAATTCCATTTATATGAAATGTCCAGAATAGGCAAATCCATAGACAGAGAGTAGATTAGTGGTTGCCAGGGGAGAAGGGAGAAATGAGGAATGACTGCAATGAGTATGGGGTTTTTTTTCTGGAGCGATGAAAATGTATTGAAGTTAGTTGTAATGGTTGTACAATCTTATGAATATACCAAAAACCACAGAATTGTACATTTTAAGATGGTGACTTCTATGGCATGCGAGTTATATCTCAATTTTTTTTTAAAAAGTGAATGTAATTTACTACATTTAGAAAATAAAGAAGAAAATATATATAATCAATTCAATTAATGCAGAAAAAAGCATTTGCTGAAATGTGATATCAATCGTGATTAGAAACTCTTAGCAAACTA